AGTGAACGAGGAACCACGGCAAACTTGATCTTTTCAAATTGTTTACCCTTGATGCCAGTCCGTTTGGAAAGCCTCTCTTTTGTTTCTTTGAAAACCTCACCCTATTGAACGTTAGCATGCAGCACGAATCGAACGCATAAAAAGGTCCTCTAACCGGTTTGAGTACGAACTTGAACGGCACACCATGTGGCCTGTTCAAATCGCGATCAAAGTTATAGGCGTTAATTGTGCGCTCGCCCTCTCCCATATTGATCTCCTCCTCAGGCATTCTTTCGGCATATAGTGTTACAAACTCGTTGATACCGGCAATTTTGGTATCTCCCACGAAGTCTCTATAAATTTTGCCGGCGTGCGTCTCATAGATCCTAACTTCACGGATCGTATCTTCATCAATATTTGCCTTCTTTTGCAGTCCGCTGAGAAGATCTGAGATGGTGCCATCCCGGGGTACCAATACTTCCACAACTTGCTGGTATAATGTTAGCATAGATATACAGTATGGCAAAGATACCTTTGATTTACCTCTTTCGTAATGCCTTCCGGAAGCCAGGTCACTTTTAAGGAAGTCTTGGACTCGTAGTCGCTCAAGCTTGTCTCCAGAACCTCATAATACAGTGCATCAGAACGGTGCATGCTATATCCGTATCCGGTCATTGTTCCACTGAGGATTTGATACAGGGTCTGGTTCGCTTGGTTGGGGTTGCGTTTGATGAATTGCTTGGGTTTCCCCGTGCTTGCCATGACAGGAGCGAAGCGCAAGTGCGTAGACTCGACATTCAAATGCTCACCAACTTTCTTAGAGAACTGGTCATAAGTCATCTTACGGCTCAAAGTCAAGGTAAACTCATCGCCTTCGCCAGCCTTTATCGGGGCAAAAGTAACACCAATCCGATTCAAAAGGTAGTCATAGTACTGTCTCGCATCCTGATAGAGAGCAGTGGCAGGTAAGTCTGCTTCCTTGGTCGATCTCTGGAATGTAATAATATCACCGTCTTGGATCTCGGATTGTTGGAAGGTCTGCTTTGGCTTCATAACGTCGATCATATTATGTTTGATTTCCTCAAACAGCATGAACTCTGTACCGGCAGGCCAATCCATCTTCTCAAGGATTGGTGGGGCAAGCTCAGCTACCTTCTGATTTTTGCGAACATATACGGGACCAACACCTGACAATGTCTGCGACGGGGCATCAAAGTGTTTCAGGAAGACTAGCACCGAATTGTTGCTGTCTGGCCAAGAAACCGTTCCATCCGCGGAGGGCTGTCCGACCTCCATCCACACTCTGAACGGGTTCCCTTTCGTGCCGAATCTGCTGTAGGCCTCTTCCACTGTCATATCTGGATCCTTAATAACCTGATCTGGTCGAGTTGTCTTGTTCTGACGGTTTACCATGACCCAGAATCGGACTCGATTGGCATTAATGCCCTTTTCTTGTGCAAGTTGCTCAGCAAACTCTCCAACCTTTTGAGCCCTGAGTATCCGATACTGCTTCGGAAGTGCTGGGTCTCCAGCCGGTAGGTCAAGGCTCGTCAGATCAAATCCGTGGTGAGACTTGAAAGACTCCTCATCCAGGACTCCAACGTTGATATACAAATGGGCTTCCTCTCTTTCCTTTTTCCTGCGTGCGAGCTCCACGCGTTCTTCAATCAGACGCGACTCAATGTGAGACGGGATGTCTTCTTTCATTATGGGAAGAAGGACATCATCCAACCTTGACTTCCGAATGTAAACCAACATATAAGCGTTCATGGAGCGCTTCGTCGATAGACCACGTGTGTAAGGTTGCTTGACGCCAGCGGCACCGTTGGCCAGCTCATATTCACCACCATAATTCTCTTCAAGGACTTCCTTGTCGGTAGCTCGGGTAACTCTATCATCGTCAAACCGATACCAATATCCATCCTTCGTAGGTTTTAGGAAAGCGTAGTAATGACCTGCGTTCAAATCACCGCTGTGCACCAGCACGCCATGTAACTGGTAGATCCACGGCTCTGACTTATCGGCATCATTGGAGAGGTAAGGCGTGGCATCAAATTCCATAGGGAATGCATGTCGATCATTAATTTTCATCATAGCGTCGCGGTTGATGTCATACTCGAATCGTTTCAAATGAAGATGTAGGACAGGGGGGAAGCTTTCAAAGATAACGCCTTTCTTGGCATCCTGTAAACCGTACGGTGGACCAGCGTCGTACTTGTTTTCGCCCTCGAGCGTTTCCACTTGAATGTAATCCTTGAAGCTGTCATCCAGGGTCTTGTTGTTCCTTACATTAAGTTGAATATCCCAGAAGTCTTCCACTCGCGAGGATTCATAATCGACATTGATGCAGGAAATGTAAGTCTTCGTCTTTCCGACAAATAACTCCGGCAATGCTTTCTCCGCTGGCGTGCCTTTCATTTTCTCTTCAAGTCTCTCCATCAGCTTGCGCGACAGTTCCTGGACATCCTGTTGTTCAAAGATCTGTCTAGACTCCCAGCCAAAAGATGCAGTAAGCTCAGCTGTTGAAACAGGGTTTTCACTCGTTTGGAGATTATAGAACAACCTCTGCAATGTCCAAGCACTGTTATCCCGGGAGGCTTCCGCCTCGGTCGGAATTTGATATGTGGCCTTCAAGAAAGTTAATTGGTAGACACTCAATACGCTTAAAGTACTCAGTCACGTACCTTTCGGAATGCATTGGTGAAGTATAGCGATTGTAGTAGTGAGTTGAGGTAACAGGTGGCACCCTGGTTTTTTAATCCAACCATGCCAGTCTCCTTCTTCGAGTCATAGCTAAAAAGGGATTAGTATCATTCTCGACGAAAGCTCTTCTGAATGACATACTTTTGGAAGGTGTGCCACAAGACACCCGTCGGATCCTTAACGACACGAACGTAGGCAGTAACCATAGCTTCGTCATTTTGCACCAGAGATACTCCACGGCCTTCCCATGGTACGTTGAACAGCCTCCGTAGTTCACAAAATCGGGTAAATCCCCAGTCTCCCTCATCCGCGTTGAACCGATGCGTCGCAACTAATCAAAATCAGCAAGCAGCATATCTCACACATAGATTCCACGCGTACCATGAGAGATTTTGATGGATGGGTCGTTTACGTTCCACAGGATAAGGCCAAATTGAACGCAAGCGTACCAATTCTCAGGTGGCTCGTTTTCCCATGCATGTTCCAAGTAGAATGATGCGTGCTCAACGTGGTTTCCATATGGGAAGAATAGAATCCGCCTATGCGCCATTATTAAAACTATACGACAGAGCGGCAAATCGTGACCAAGTTGTGCACCCACCATGGAAATCCTGCGCATTGGAATGTCGGGCCATGTTCCTTCTTCTTCAACTTGCGCCAGTCCTTAATATGCCATGTATGGTACGCCTCGTCTTCGGTTTCCAACTCCGGGTCTTAGGAAGGATTCGTGCCATCATCGCTGCATCTATACCGGAAGTTTGCGTTAGAAGACGTCCCAAATAGGCGAGGAAATGCTGTCATCATATATTCTCGAGTGGAATCTCCGACCCCGCGACGGGGGTACGCATAACCTTTCATGGCCAACTTATAGGAAGCAGATTCAATAGAGAGGTATCATATAGAAGTAGTCCTTACAATCGTCTGCAAGAGGCTCCGGCTCCGGCTCCTCCGATCCGGACCGGGAGACAACAACATCGTCCGTTCTGTCATTGTGATACTGCTCATATTCGTCGACGAGCATTTCATTATCTGGGACCTATGGAGGTGATCCCACAATCAGCTAGGTGTGTCTAGTATTGAAATGAGGCGAAAGCATTTTTCGTTGCTCTTCGGTACAAAGGAAGGCGGCGATGAAGTGTTGGAGACAAAGACTTACGTTATCCATAGAGGAAAAAAAAGTGCGCCCACGCACTTAAATCTAGAGACACACTCGTTTCGATACTGGGTTTGAGAATGGGGGACAAATGTACAGGAAAGAGTGGAGGGGGCAAGAAAAAGATTTAGAGGGTGAGGTCAACCTGACAGCGTGTAGGGACGCCGAGTGGTCAGAGACACAGATGGTTCAGGAAGAGGTTCCAGTCCGAAGGAGTTGAAGCTAAGGTAGTGGCGGAGTGCGCAGAACCCAATAATAACGGCTATGCCTCGGCGGGACAATATTATTAAGATTCTTTCAGTTAGTTACTGCATGGAAAGCGAAAACAAATAGGCTACCTTTTTGACATCCAGCGCAGAAAGTACTTGATATATGTATGTACTATTGAAATTTATATCGAATGAAGAGTCTTTTGAAAAATTATTCACGCGATTTCTAATTGGACTACATTGAATATAGAGCCTCAGGCAGCAGACTGGATGCCCGTTCAATTGATTTTCACGGCCGCCTTCAATACCCATTCTTTCTGGATATGGTATGGTAATTGCAGACAATGAGTGACGACCTTGGACAAACGATCATCTACGATGATATCATCTCGCTTCTGGCTTGATTCTGCCCCTGATCGAGTTCGAACTAACCAAGGACTGGACGTGAAGTGTTTAGAGAATGTCTAGTACGGGCAAATTGAATAAAATTGGATATATTCGATGTAATCAAGTTCCAATGTAGAGCGACAAGTTGCTTTTCCCTCCCGATATAACAAACATAGGAGGAAAGAGCTCATTGAACATCGGGATTGCAGGTCTGATATACATGTCACATTTATATAGTTCGATAGATAGGTAAGCTTCAGCTTTATTTCACATCGAACTTTGTTGCAGCCAGCGATCCAGTATGAATCAGGTACCAAAATAGTATTCGAGAAGGATACCAATGATAATTGAGTTCTAGTAGAAAATCTCGAATTTAAATCTGGATACTCACATCAGATGCCCAGGCGGAAAACTACGTGAACCTGCCCACGAGAGAGTTTAAAAGGAAGGGACGTCACATGCCGGGACGGAAAGCTCTCACCGCCTGCGGAGTGCCGTTTCGATTGCGCCCGCATCAAGTCATGAAATAAAACCACCATGTCATGCCACTGGTAAAGACACCACATTTCACAACCCGGTGAGCCATGTATGGAAAGGTTTATCCAGGCCTGATCTTGGGTGAACTTTGCTGGTCGGAGACCACATCATCGTGTCGCGATTCTTACAATCCATGAGACGTTTTTGATCCAGTTCACAGCGAAGCAATATGCTGCGGAGTCATCCAGCTTGGCGCTGGCAGGCCTTCCGACAAGCGCGTGCTCCAACACTTCGCCCTTATTCGGGCCTCCATCAGCTTCAACCCCATAGTCCACCACCATGGAGACCTGTCTCGGCTTTGGATGAGTATGGAATCCAGAAACATACATTCTAACCACCACATGCAGCTGACGTGATGTCTTCTAGGTGGGTCGAACGCGACATCCGACCGATAAGTTTACGACAATTAACATTTTTTGGGCGGACTTTGACAGAATCTCGACTTATTAGCTCGGCTAACTATGTGCGAACGGAGCTTCCAACTAGGTTAGTGCGATTCTGATGGCTACTTGCGCATCCTTCTAACAGGTTTGGTGTCATTCGGCGGATAGGCTTGCACATCGCCTACGAGATATTCAAAGGCTGCCATATGTTGTCGTAGCTAATCCTCACCTGTCTCTCGTATATGAGCTCTACTATAAAGCCTTTGAACGATTTCGAACGATTCCGGAGATTAAAACACTCGAGGACAACGATAAGTTTTGTGATGTCCTACGCAAGACGCTGAAGGAACACCTTGTGGTGATCCCAAGATTAGCAATGGGTGTGCTGGAGTGCCGTGCTCTGCTACCGGCAGACGTGCTGGATCAATTTATGAATACTTTGCTTCGCGCGGTATGCCAGTTTCCGGTAGTTGCGCAGCGTGCCTTCAAAGTGGCTAACTGTTGCCGAACAGAGAATCTCCCGCCGAGTCATAGCGGAACAACACCTGGCGTTAACGGAAACGTTCAACTCCCCGTGGCACTTTCCTGGCTCCCAGGATCGCACGGATGCTAATGCGGACTACGTTGGCGAAGTCTTCCTGAAGTGCAACGCAAAGGAGGTTATTGAGCGCTGTGGTAAACTTGCGCAAGATATGATGCGCCAGGCATCAGGAACCGAGAAAATTCCCGAGATTTCCGTGCAGGGGCACCTAGACGCCACTTTTCCCTACATGCTAAGCCACCTGGAATATATAATTGGGGAGCTTCTACGAAACTCTATCCAGGCTGTCAGTGAAAAGTATAATGGCTTGCCTGAGAAGCCACCACCTATTGAAGTACTCGTATGCGAAGCACCACAGCATGTTATCATGCGAATTTCTGACCAGGGAGGAGGCATACCTCGCGAGGTTCTACCGTACCTGTGGTCATTTAATAAAGGCCCTCACAGTAAAGCACGGCTTCAAAATTTGGAGCAGGTTCCGGCAATGGCAGCCACGATGCAAGAGCTGACAGTGCCGAAGGAAACGAAGCGCGCTGACAAGGAAACATTCCGAGAGAGCTCGCTTGACACACTTACCTCACGGCCGCCAAACCTTCGCCTGGGCATGGGGCTTCCTATGAGCCGAGTTTATGCGGAATATTGGGCAGGCAGCCTCGAATTGCACAGCTTGGAAGGATATGGGGTGGATGCATTCCTGCAGATATCCAAGCTTGGCAACAAGAACGAGCAAGTCACCACGAGGGCATCGATTGATGCTGTGTGATGAAATACGTGGCTTCTTTGGACATTCTTTCTGTTATATACATGATACCTATACCTATAGCCATACTAGCTATACAATAGAGAAATATTTTTAAATGACCAGATAACCTGTTAGTGGCTAGTACTAGTCAAGGACTTAAAATTAGCCACAGACCCACTTCCCCAGGTTTCACGCCTAACCAATCCCGAATAGGAAACGCAGGGAAATCGACATCCGGCTCCTACCGGAATGACGTCAGCTGAAATGTACTTTTTTCCCAATCAAAAGAACTTGCAGGGCCAGAGGAGAAAAGAGGTTGCCTACGTGTTAGTAAGAAGAATGCAAACAAAAACCCAGAAACTCAGCCTTATTCGATCGCTCTCTCCCCAAAAAAAAAAAAAGATCTTGCCCTGGTGTGACGTGACGTCGATCTTCCCACCCCTACATAATAATACAAATCAGAATCAAGTATATAGTCAACATGAAGCACCTCAATTCCCCCAGAGACGACAACGTCCCAATCTACATATTCGGTCTCCTCTTCACCATTCTCTTTCTCAGTTTCCTGGGCACATATCTCGACACCAGCAAATCACGCGCCGTGAAGTCGACAGCCGAAACTCAATAACGACCAGACACCATCTGGGTCAATCAAAATGGCTGGAACGTGCTCGATGCTTTGCCTGATCCTCGTCACACTGTTCAGTAAGTTTATCCGCCTAGATGTACCTATTTGCCCCTGTCCAATGGCCCGAGGCTCTTTTCTCGTATTCGTCTCCGTGTGCATATCTAGCGTTCTCTGATCTTCCAACCGAAAGAGTACTGGTTTACTGACGTGGTGTTAGTCCCTCCCCTTGGCGTTTTCCTCATCTCCGGCTGCAGCGCTGATTTCTTCATTAATATTCTGTTGACGATCCTTGGGTGCGCTTCCCTGTTCATCCAATCTCTGGTATTCTCTGCCGAATACACGTTGACTAGCATGATTCACCACCTATATGCACAACTACATTACAACTCCATTTCAACAGCACAACTAACGTAGAATAGGTATCTCCCGGGCCATATCCACGCCTTCTATCTTGAATATGTATACTACAGGCAACGCGATGGGGCAACAGGACGCGCACCTGGCGTATACTCCGAGCGAATCCAGGGTGGTGGTCACCATAGAACAACCTATGGCACCATTCACAATTAGTCAGTTGGAGCTGCAGTTACGACTTACGAGGGATGCGGTACACTTGTTTCATTAAGCCTATGCCTGATAATCCTGGCCTACTTATTCATTCGTTATTCTTTGCGTAAAAAGCACGCCTAGTTTCGGTTAGATATCAATAATTGCAAGTGCTATTCCTACCATTTTACTTTGTTTTCTATTATTCGCAGCCTAAATTGCAATTCCATATTTAGTCCGCGAACCGCAACTTACACGTAGCAAACCATTGAACCCAAACATATGATTAACTGGATCAATTAATACACAAGAGCCTAGACCTCCACCTTCTTTGCCTGACCCTCGCCTTCTGCCGTCTTGGCAGTCGCCTTCGTCTTCAACGCCGGAAACTGAAATGGCTTACTCCTCCCAGAATCACCACCCGTCCTCGGCACGGCTCCAGACCCAGGACTCCACCACAGAGCTCCAACCCAAGGCTGCACGTTCCACCCAACAGAAAGTGTCACATTACTCCGCTCCGCCATCTTCCCCGTGATATCCGAGATCTGATACTTAGCCCGCTGGTTCCTCAGACGGAGAACACCAGGCGCGGCCTTATCCTTCTTAGTCGACTTCTTGGCGCCGGTGGTCCGTTTCGAAGAAGACTTGGCCGGGAAGAAGCGCTCACGGAGAGCGTTGAAGGAGTACGGCGATTCCGGGGCCGAGATGATGGTGTCCCAGATGATGGACTCGGATTGGGGGAGGAGGGTAGATTCCTTGTCGGAGGACGAGTAGGAGGCGTAGACGTAGACGAAGAGTTGCTTTGTGTTCCAGTTGAAGAGGGAGGAGAGATCTACATCGGTGTTAGTCAGTTGCTTGCTTGAGCAGGGATCTTGATTGATGCAATTCAAATGTACATACCAGCGTCCAGATCAAAGCGCATTTGTGCGTATTCTTCTTTCTTATTTGAATAGTAGTGTGGGCGTCCTTTGACTCTGAGTGTGTTGACCTTGTTAGTGGACCTGTATGGATATAGTCACAGAGAATTGACACGTACACTTTGACATCCTTCAATGATACCGCTGCCTTCGCCTCATCGGTTGGATATAACAGAACAGACAACGCCGCAAAACCAGCGACGAACAAGGCCACGGTTGTAAAGAAGCCGAAGACGGCCTGCGCTCGGTTCAGAGACGAGTGCATGATGGGTGATTTCTTTGTCCCTTTGAGACAATTGACGATAATATGGCCGGGAATAGGTATTGGCAGATTAACGAAGCAAGCCAGACAATCTCTGGTGTTTTATGAAGCAAAGGGGAGGCGAGCTCCCTATGGAATAGCGTTGCGACAAGGGAGTTCCGAGATGATGTTTGTTGAAGCCACATGGACCTTTTCGCGCAGGCGGTGAGTGGAGCACGAGGCTTATCGATAAGGGCCGTTTGCTATCTACAAGGTAAATATATAAAGAGCAACTAGCTGGCTAGCCATTATAGCTGCCTTGCTTCTCTATTCTTTCTTTCTCTGTATCTTTTGTCTCGTTAGCTCCCTAGTTCTCCGAGGGCTGAGTCTTATGGGCAGTAAGAAGCCCCAGCCCACTGTACATCATTTTCTTCTCTGAACTACAGCCCCACAGTACAACTAGATCGTGATACCAGGCAGCTCCGGTAAAGTTGATCACAATGGGTGACCACGTTCTCTTTTTCTACGGTAAGCCCTCTCAATTGGTCCGATAGATATACCTCAATCCTCACTCTCAAGCATGCACTTCTCAAACAACCCACCATACCTAATCCCCATGCCTCCAATACTCTCTCAAAACCCCAATCTACCCCACCAACGAAAACCACCAAACCAATCTAGCACGCAAGGAAATATGCCCAAACTAACAACCTGCGGAAAGGAACCCTAATGGCCCCTCAAATTCTCCACCGGGTAATTCACGGCTCACCAGACCCAGAGCCTGGCAAAAAGCCCTCCTCACATTCAGGCCAGCCATTCTGCACGGGTACGGACGGCATCGGGTACGGGGAGCCGACTACCCAGGCATCGTGCCGGCCAAGGCAATGACCACGGAGCCAGACACGGATTTGAATGCTAATGGCTTGGCGGCTGTGCTTGGGACGGTTGTTTCGGGATTGACAGACGGTGATGTTCATCGATTAGATATCTTTGAGGGTGCGGAGTATGAGAAGAGTAAGGTAAAGGTTAGGATTTTGCGGGAATCGCTGGGTGGCAAGGATGGGGGGCTGGATGGGAAGGATACGGATAGGCATTTGATGGATGTTCTGGATGCTGCCGGGGCGGAGTTTGCGGATGAAGGGGAGGAGGTAGAGGCTGTTACATATGTTTGGGTTGCTGGGGAAAGTAAGCTGGAGGATGGAGAGTGGGATTTCGAGGCATTCAAGAAGGATAAAATGGCCTGGTGGGTGGGGGCAGATGAAAGTGAGTGGTAATATCTTCTTTAGACAATTTCCATAGAAGGCCAAATGTATTTTGTTCTTTAGATGGCCCAAATCAGCATAATCTCTCCCATCAAAAGCAGGTCTAGAGCAATTATGTACAATCTTTTAAGCACGCCAACAGCTGAAACATCAAACATGTGGGCATCTCCGAGAAGTCCCATGAACGTAAATCCATATGTCCATAAATAATGCGTGGTATCTCGTGCACCCAGAGTAAGTTCTCCTGCTCATATGCCCGAACGCCTAATCGAGTACCAACTCCTATGGGGTTATCAGAAAAGACAAAAGCACAAAAAGGAGAAAATAAGAAAGGAAGAAAAATAAAGGAAAAGAAAACAAAAGAAAAGAGAGAGTGTGTTTCGGTTATCGACGCGATTGAACCGTAGTAAAGGCTTGATTTCACCGAAAACTATTTGGGTTTCTGCTTGGTAGAGTGCTGATTCTTTATGCTGTCTTGATAAGACGGCGGTATAATCTGCACTTCGACTGTCGGAAGCTTCGCTGGCTGCTTAGGCTTTTTCGTTTCTTTATTTTCGACCGGACACACTTCGTGATCTACCGGCTTCATCGCTGCTTGGTCGCTTGGAGACTTGTCTTTTTCAAGTATCTTCGATGGACAAGAGCTGGCTTCCTGAGCTTGCTCCTGACTGTTAGGGACCTGGACCTCGACAACTTTATCGTCTATTTTGTCTGATACATTTGGAACAGTAATTTCCACGACGGGGTTCTTAAGACTGGGCGCTATTTGATGCGTACCATCCCTCTCCGTTTTGAGATTTTGGTTACCGTCGGAAGTCGCGGGACTTGAGCGGTTCGAGGCTGGTCTCCGTTTCCTAAGCGGGTGCTTTTGTGCATCTATTTCAGTACTCGAGGAGACCTTGAGTTGCTGCTGCTGCGAGTCATTGCATTCTTCGTTTTGGGCGGATGTCGATGCAGAGGACCCTAGAAGGTACGATATCGGATATCTATCTGCTAGAACCCCCTTTTCACTTGCTTTTTCAGAGCCTGATAGCGCTTGCTCATCATAGAGGTCGTCCAGGAAGTCACGCAGTCGACGTCGAAGGATGCCGGACTTTAGAAGCGGCCAATCATCTTGCGTCTTCATTTCTCTTCTGAGAAGCTTCCTGACAAACAAGTCTGGGTCCTGAACAAACTTCTCTATGTATGCTAGAAGGTATAGACCACAGTCTGAATAGTTAGACTGCAAAGGGATCGCACGAGCCCTCATGCCTCTGATTAGGCTTCTGTCGATCTCAATGCCACGCTTAGATTTGGCCTCTTCGTAAAGATAATCGCGGAGATTACTAATGGTGGGCGAGCGAGACAGATCTAATGAGTCAAAAGTAATTATAGTTGCTTGACGGATATCGAATTTAGCACCTCCAGGCTTTCCGCTGGGCTTTGCCTTCTTCTTCTTCGAGCCCTTATTGGGAGACGCTGCTAGTTCAGAAGTTCCCACCACGCTAGCCTTTTCGGTGGACTCTACTTTGGCTGCAGGGCTAGAGAACTTGGCGGGAGAAAAGATAAGGTTCTCTTCTTGCTCTGGCCACTCTGTAGGGGGCATGCCCGGTGCACGGTCTTCAAGTTCTTCCTTGTCCGACAAGCTCATTGTCTCAAATGACTGGCGGGTTGCTTCGTCTTTCGCAGGTTCCGAATTTCGGTTGTCATTGGCTTTCACTGGTTTACCAGCAGGTAGCTCCTCAATGGGTTCAGGCGTTTCGGGGATTTCGCGGCCTTCACTCTCCGGTGCAGCCGAACTGTCTTTGTCACATTCAGATGGTTGTCGGTTCTCCGTGTTTTTGTCGGCAATACCAGGTAAGTTCGGCAAGTTGCAAATGATAGCGACGTACCAGTGAGCGTTTTCATTGATAGGAACCACGATGTAATCGAATGCGAAAATGTCAACCGCGCGAGTCCACTTTTGGACACCTTCATAATTAATATTTCTTCTGCCCTTGACGTTTGTCAGGGTTGCGAAGAAGTACGAGTTGAAGAAATAGACTCTCTTCGCTACCTCGTTGTTAGTCCGCTCTAAATGATCCTCGAGAAAACGTATATAGAAGCCTATGAGGTTATCATTCAAGAACTCGTTATCACGTAGCCGTTCACGGTCTTGGGCATCGACCTCAGCTTTTTTCTTGCCAAAGCGGGGATACACAAGCGGTCTAGCATTTGATTAATACAAGGACGTACATTAGCAAGAGAGGGGCACATACTTATGCCACTTCTTATCTTTCTCTTCAGCCTTTAGCTGAGAGCCATCGTCCTCAACCTCATCATCACTACGGTTCAAGTTAGTTGAGAACCTTGTTCATAGCAAGGGGCCACTCACCAAACGACTGTTGTTGCTGGTGCCCGACGCGACATTGACCGTGTTGCCCGATTAGAGAATGATGATCCGGGGAAAAGTTTCTTCACAGAACCTTTGTCCGCTACCTGTTCATTTGAGGGTAGTTCTCGTGTGCTTGGGGCGATCAAGTTTCCTAGAGTTTCTGTTGCTGATTTGGAACATTCCACCGAAGCGGTATCCGAAGGCTGTATTTGTCCGGCAGTATTCTCATAAGTGTCTTGCAAAGAGTCCGACAGTTTCACCCGCTTAGCGACTTCCGGCGCCCTGTACGATATTGATTTTGGCTTGTCTTCACCAAGATGCTTGGCTTCCTTCGCTTTCTTTTCCGCGAGATCTTCGGATCGTCTCATGAATGAATTTTCCAACCAATCGCTGTGATCATATAAGCTTCTGTGCGAAAGAGTCAAAAACATGGGATGATAGAGAAGACATACTCGCGTCTGTACAACAGCTGAACATGTTGCCCGTGCAGCAATCTCTGTAAGAGGTTACATAAAGTTTCCTGCTCCTCGGACGTGGAAAATTCCATGTCCATCTCGTTATCAAGCCCCCCTTTTCTGGAAAACAGTAGCCGAACTCTCCGACTAGGTGACTTCCCTTGTACGACCTTGTCAAGTCTCCCCAGAGAAATTCTTTCACCGTTCCAAGGATGTGTTATTGTAGTCTCTGTAGTCGCTGTAGACTCTTTAGTCTCCACATTTATTTCAAATGCTTCACTTGACCGGTGTTCATCCGACCCAAATCGAACGAAGGTGGCATAGAAGCATTTGACGGCTAATTTGGTTGGTGAGGTCGGGGCCTTTCTCCGCTTGTCGGATTTCCGATGGTTTTGGGAGGAGCCCGTGAATACTGTAGGCTGTATATCGGATGGAGAAGCCAGCGACCGACTGCACCCGGATGCTCTTTGGGTTCAGACATAGAATTGCTGGTTTCCTTTTCACGGCCTCTTTTCAGTAACATGGGTGCTGGTTGGACGGTTGCGCCTCCTTGCAGTTCATCAGGGCTGTCCCTCGAACTGTCCGGATGATTCTGATCTGTCGCAACGGAAGGACAATCGAGATTCGGACCATCTTGTTGTTCTTTCGACGGAGGCGAATGTACCTCAACACTCTCGATGGCTTCATGTTTCCCCGCTCGATCTGGCCACGCCAATTTGGCTGACTCCGGTTCCACGTCTGACGCCATTGCACGTCTTTCTCTGGCTGCATCTTCAGTAAATCGCTCTTCATAGTATTCATCCGAAAATAATTGAGTGTACTTTATAGAGCCTCGCTTGGGAGTTCGAGGGGGTTTAATGCCCCTCTCCACGTCACGATACTCATCAACTCTATTGCGTTTAGAACTCGGATCCCGTAGTTTTGTTCTATCTGAATGTTGACTAAGTGCAGGCGATAAACGGGTTGAGTGTCCACTGAGATATGTGTTGTCTGGGGGAATTTGCTCCATGATATCATCGTCGGGAATGCTTATGACCCCTCGAAAAGTGTCCTGGCTCTCTCGGCGCCGACGTTTCGACGGCCGCTCCTGATCGTCGTGTACGGCACCATTTTCTGGACGGGTGACGATACCTCTAGTACTTCTTTGACTGCTGCTGCTCTGATCTGCTTTCCCTCGCGCGCGAACTGGTCCACTCTCTCGAACACGCCGTGAAATTGTATCGTAAGGTTTGAACGCTTGGATGTTCTATGGACATATATAGTCAGAAGAAGGACGAACAATAGCCCGGAATCCGATCGCATACCAATTTACTCTTGCGACCATACTTTTGCCCCGCACTTCCAGGTACAATCTTTACCGCAGCAGGGTCGGACCTGGAAAAGTAACCACCTGTAAGCTCCGCGTTCGCTAGGCCATCAGAATCCGATATGACAATCGCAAGACCTACCGTATGGTATTGCCGGGCAATAGTCTCTCTTCGTCGTTTTGAGTAGGTAGACGTGTCTGGCTCCGCGTCGACTTATCCTCTCCAAGCCTACCGCCCAACGTATCAGCATACTCGGAATCGCTTTTGCGCTGCGAGGTCATATTTACAGACGCCGCATCCCTACACCCGGTCGAGGAATGGTCTGGCGTAGTTGTAAACGTACAGATTCAGAGCGTTGGGGTCTTTCGGCATAGCTATGGGTTGATTGGATCTAAAAAAAAGCAAAGAAATTTAGCCCGTGCATAGGTATAGTCCCACCCCCCCGACGGAGTTGGATATGAATGTCCGAAGTCGACCATGTAGATCAGCCATACTAGAGAAAACCTTGGGAGAAATATACACAAAAGGCCACATACATCTGGGGAGTGTATAGGTATGTCCACAGCAGACCCTACAGACAGAGATCCGGTCCTCTCACCGGACGTCTGTGTCCGTCGCACTTGGTCGGAGGTCGCATCAAATGGAAAATGGTTGACTGTGGTTGGTCGGGATTCCGTCGGTTCACTGGGGATCCAGTTGGACAAGAAATCTGAAATCCTCCCAAACATGTATTCACACCAAAGATCATTGCATCACTGGGACAAGTTCAGCAGATATTCGATTCCCATACACATAGAGGGGAAACGTGATTGACAAGAAAGAAAGCATCATGACGGAAGAAAAAAAGGCGGTGGGAACTCTTTCTGCCCACTGTCCTGTTCATGCGGGCAATTAATTTGCAGCCATCAATGAGGTAGAGTTCAGAAAAAGCAAAAAACAACCAATAACTGTACTAAGGTATCGACAAACACTACAAACGGTAGTAACTCAATCATTGTCTCAGGGAATGATCCTTTAATATACTACTACTTTACACTCCACACTAAGATAAAAAAAACAAAAACTAAAGCTTTACAATAGATACATTTCAGTCCGAATGTAAATCACCTGGCAGTGATTGCGCTTCATGCACCAGGCATCCCCTAAAAGTTCCTGTGAACTTGCATAGCATCTGGCGTAAAATAGAACAATGACGAGAAATGAAATCAAGCCCAAGTCAAAACAGACGCACTATTCGCCCAATGCCCCGATCCCAAATCGTCCCAATTATTTTTTGTTTTCTTTACTATACAGGACCATAAACCAGGCTCAGATAATCATGTCACGACGCCGCTCCCTTTTCTTTATCTCCCGTAGAGTCATCATTAGCCGTAACTCTTCGTCGATCTGTACCTAGATTTTGATGTGGGTTGTTGTTGTTGTTGTTGTTGTTATTGTTGTGGTGATGGTGATGGTGGTGATGATGGTGGTGGCCGTTGTTTCCGGCGGCCTTCTCCTGACGAGCTTGATCAATGGCAGAGCGCTGAGCAATGCTGTCGTCGTGGCTCTTCCAGACAATGTTGGTATCGATCGGGAAGCCCAGCAGACGCTTGATCGTTTCCCTGCGCTGCATTAGAAAACAGAACGAAAAGTTTTCAAGGCGAGCCCTGAAAAAGAAAATCCAACAATAAAGCTTACCGGATCTTGATATTGCGCCCACCGTCAATCCTGGTCCAGACACTCAACACGTCCTCGCCACTCCGTACGCTGAGGACAGCACCGCAAACTTCATCACCAGCCTCCGCGAACTGGTCACCAACCATAGCTAAGAGAAGATCCTCCCAGTACCGATCAGCAACACCCTTCTTCAATCTCACCACCCACTTCCCACCCTTCTTGTTGGCATCATCTTCCCATACAGGGCGAATGCCCTTTTTAAAGATATGATAGTCGGAAACAGTGGGTAGAAGAGAAGGCCGCTTCAAGTGCGAATATATCGACCAGAAACTTTCGACCGAGGATATAGATGCAAGGGGGACGGTTGACTTTTCGTAATCGGAGTATTTAGGCGTGGGTGGACGGTACCAAATGATCCAGGTGGATTTCAGAGGGTGTTCTCTGATGATAGAACTAGCGGCCTTCGTCTTCGTGCCCTCCACCGAGTCGTGTTCCGTCGGGTTGTCTCGTTTCTCGAGGGGCGTCTTGAGGTCGGAGCCGCCGGGAGTTTTGGGGGCACCGAAAGATGCAAAGGCGCCGGATCCCAGGCCGAATGCAGACGAGGCGTTCGTCGACGGGGAGGACACACCGCCCGAAAGAGGAGATAGAGCGTTGAAGGGATTCGATCGACCGTGGGAGCTATCAGGACCAAAACGCTTTGTGCGGGGAAGTTCGACTTTGGCACCGTCTTTGCCGTCTGTTCCCGTCATAGACAGAGACAACTTAGAGGAGCTGGAACGCGGTGAAACGATCAGCAATGACCCCTCGAAAAATCACCAATGTACAAAAATGGAAAAAGGAGGAAGAATGTTTAAAAAAGAAAAAACAAAAAAACAAAAAAGAAGACGACGACGACGACGTATACGTACTTGGATCGGCGAGTCCAAAGATTTGCGTTATCCATGATAGCTACCTAATGAGACGGCTCAGAAAACGAGCGGTCATCAGGCAATAGAACGGAGAAACTGGCGGCTTAACTGCGTAGGGTAAAAACCGAATGATACCGTATATCTGGAAAGCGCTAAAATGTTCAATGCAGACGAAAGGCAGATGGTGGCAGTTCGAGAGAAAAAGGCGGAAGAATAAAAGCGACTAATATAGTAATTAAAACAAGATGTTGAGCAAGAACAACGGAAGCTAAAGAAAGGGAGTAGAAATCGTGATCGTGATCGTGAACGTTAAGCAGAGGTGGGGGGAAGAATGCGGATTGCAAGATTGAACTGGAAGAACTCAAGTCACTGTCCGCTCGATTGGAAGAAATGGATAATTATTGCCCTTCGCGTTTCGTCCATTTCTTCGAGCTCCTCCGCCCTTGTCCAATCACCGTCGAGCCCCGCTCTCGGCCTCCCGCACCGTCGTTTTTCCTTCTTTTTTTCCTTTAAATTCCCTTCTTCCTTCCCTTTCTTCTCTTCTTCTTCACAAAACCCAAGACCACCAACTCAAATCATCGCCAGCTGCAACGTTTTTTCTACTCCACTGCACTGGCGACTCCGATGAGTGTGTCGAGAACAACTATTCAAACCCGCTTCTAAAACCATCATCACGAGGGCTTCTCGGCTTCCATGATGCGGTGATGACCTGTATGACGGGACATACCTTTTCCTAATTAGAGAATGTTTGATGTTTGCCTTTTGCATAAAAGCAAGAACGACAATCCACCACCATGGTTACTGCCGTACATGGTTGGTAGCTATCACTCTGGTGCGTTCACTTCTTTTCTGCCAATTCTCGGCCGCCGCCGTGCTTGAAAACACCAGTCCATGAGGAAAAAATCATTCTCTGGTAAGCCGAGGTGCTCAACCGCTTTTCTACACTGCCTTCTTGGCTAAGCTGGTTGAGTGTGAGGTTTCAAAGGCAAAGTCTGATCTGTTGCACTTGGTTTCAATGGCATATGCCGAGCTGTTCCGATTGGCTTTGGTCATTAAATACTGACCAGCAAATAGTAGATTGATCGTATTACTCCCTCTTTGGGACGTCTAAATTGTAGAAACATAACCGATGTGTACGAAAATATAAAAACCAGTGCATCTCGAATAGGAGAAATTCTATACATTCGCTACACTATAATAGCTCCTGTGATAATCACAATAAGCATTGGATATATGCTGTCAGAACGCGTGACCATAATTCTTATCGTGGAAATTTTTTGAAATCAAGTCCCCACGCAAATATTGCATCCCAGTGATGCGACGCATGTAGCCGTTTTTGACCTATTGTTCCGTAGGCTGTGCTGAAGATTGCGAGTCCTCGGCGTCTTGCCTGGCACGTTTCGTTTCTCTCTCGCTGGGTGGAGCTGAAGTACCAGCCTTCCGTTTCTCTTTGTCTCTCTGATACTCAGCGCGGCGAGCTTCCCTGTCCTTCTCTTTGCGGAGTGCTTTGGATTCAAATTCATGCCAATCGCCCTCAATGTTCTCCAGTCTAGTATTCTGTTAGATAACACACTTAGAAAGTACCATACCACTTGAACACTTACTCAATGGCTTGTTGGGGCCTAGGCTCCTCCGAAGCAAAGTACGGATGTGCAAGTATCTCCTCAGCAGTTGGCCGTGCAGTCGGGTCATAACGGAAAATTTGAGAAACCAAGTCCAGAGCCGCTGGGGTTAGGATTTGCCCATACACCTCCTCAAAAACCCTTCTCTTTCGTTCAGTCGGGCGCATCAGCTCGAACCAAGGCATCTCAACAATGTCTGGCCATTCTGCTCGTGTCGGAGTCCCGAGACAATTATAGAGCTTCTCCATTTGGCTGATCTCGCCCCCCTCGCCGGGGAAAACGGCTTTCTTTGTGAACATTTCGACGTATACGCAAGCCGCACTCCAAACGTCAACTGCCGGTCCGTACCTGGTTTCACCCAGGAGAAGCTCCGGCGGTCGGTACCATATAGTGATAACACGATTTGTGTAATCAAGTTGTCGACTCTTTGAGAAGAATCTGGCCAAACCGAAGTCGGCGTATTTTAGTTGTCCACGGTTGCTGATAAGAATATTGGCGGCCTTGATGTCGCGATGCAGCACTCCACGATGATGAAGGTAGCTCAATCCTTCGAACATTTGCTTTGCCAGGTCCTTTTTATGAGCTGCCGTAAGTGTGAAAGTCGGGTGATTAATGAGACCAGTAAGGTCATGGGAGAGATACTCAAACACCATAAAGCACTCATTCCTCTCTACCATGACTTCCAGCAAGCTCACAACATTGTCGTTGCGGAGGTGTTGCAGCAACTTGATCTCGCGCACAGCCGTGACAGGGAAGCCATCTTTCTCGCCCTCCATTCGTATCTTCTTCAATGCCACCTTTCTCTGGGTATACACATGAATTGCCTTGAAGACCTTTCCATACGTGCCAGCTCCAATAACAGATTCATTTCCAGGTTTCCGGTAATAAACAGAGTCCGATTTAGCGAATTCTTCAGGAAGGATGGGACGTGGTTTCGGCCGTGTCAGAATTTTAGGTTGTTTCTTGGGTTCCGGAGAGCGATCCCGGCGGCGTTCAGGACGGAAATCCTGTCGTCGGTCACCTCTTCTCCTGTCATGGCGATGATCAAAACGATGATCATCCTTCCGACCGTCGCGCCTATCCCTAGGATCACGGAACCCGCGCGGATCCCGGAAATCGCGCCGGTCATTACGCCCCCTGTCGCGATCTCTTTCACGATGTCGGTCTCTTTCTCTCTCACGGTCCCGCTCACGACGATCAAAACGTGGCTCAGGCTTGAATTTGGGAGGCGGACCACTCGCCATCCGATTACGCGGAGGCTCGGCCACCCGGGCAGGTGGCTCTCGGGCCAGCATCCTTTGCGCCAGATCCGGAACGGGTTTCGGAGCAGGGGCTGGAGTTGTCTTCGCCTTGAAAGCAAAACTGATTTTGCCTCCCTTATTTGGGTTCGTAGAGGTATCAGACTGTCCTATATTCGTAGGTAGCATTTTCTGGGCATCGTCGACCTCTGACTCTGGCTTTTCCTCGCCTACCGGGCGATCTTGGCCACCAAGCCTGAAAGCAATATTACTCTGAGCAGGACCAATAGATGTCTCATTTTCCGAAGCCGTTGGAGGTGGAGGGGTTTGTGACGTCTGCCCATGTGATGTATGTGGGCTATGAGGCCCCCGACCCCGGGATCCGGGACCACTCCACTGATAACTGGTAAAATTACCCCGGCCACGCGGGGAAGGTGCATTGCTGTAATTTTGGGAGCCTGAAGCAGAGAATCTACGGCCGCCTCCTTGGTTCTGATAGTTTCCGCGATAGCCTGAATGGCCTCCACGAGGACCTGTGGGAATATGGTTCGCAGACGGATGAAATTGGCTTTGGCCTTGATAAAACTGGCTCTGTGGACCAGTCGGCGGCTGTCTGTACGGAGGAGAACGACTAGACATTGCACCCAGGTCAGCACTATTGGAAGAGTTTCTCTATAAGACAGGAAGAAGAAGAAAAGGGAAGGAGAATTAGAAGAAAGAAGAAACACCTACCCGGGGTGAGGAGGTTGCTGCCCATTCCAACCGCCCCGTCCACCCGAATACGGAGAGGTAGATTGTGGGGAACCATGGTAGGAATTAGACGGGGTCACGTATTGCGGCGAGGTCGAATATTGTCTGGAATCAAGATGTGGACGGGGGTTTGAGCTCTTGGTGTCCCGTGCATCAGATGCCCGCATCCCATGCATCGAAACGGACTCACGTGGGGCATCTCCATCTACCAAAGCACCAGTAGTCTCAACATCAAAGCTTGGAATTGGGCCAGGGGGAGACGGGGATCTGAGAGGGTTATCTGCAGACCGGATTGGTCTAGCCGAATGCATAGCTATAGATTCCCGCCGGGAGGCAATAGATAACCTTGAGCCCACGGACTCTGCTGAATGGCGAGATACAGATCGATGCCGCGGGTCGCGTTCAGGATCGTCTTCAGGGCGAGGGCTGTGCAACCGACGACGAGGGTAGTTGTAAGATTTCGCACCACGAGTGGGAGACTTCGAGTGTCTTGGGCGGGAAGAACTTCGTCGACCAGCCTCGTCCTTCCGGCGGTCTCTCCCTCGTCGTGGTGACCTTCGACCCGACCTACCGCGACCTGGGAAACGTCCTCGGCCCCGTTTATGTGGAAAACTTCGCTCAGAGTCGTCACCCGGCCGACTATACGAGTGGCGAGGAGGTTCTTGAGTAGAGTGGCGGGGATGCAGCCAGGTGAAGGACCTCGTGTTCTTTTGCGTTTTGATGGAGGGGGTGCAGAGGGAGATTGATCTCTGCGGTAGTCCCGCTCGATCGGCCTGTCAACCTCCAGCGAATAGTGCGAATCTAGATCGGGATGCTCAGTCGGTTTGGGCGAAGAGTGACGACCAAAGTTCTGGCTTGGTTGGAAGTCTGACGGTGGAGGACCAGGGGAGGCACGAGCCGACACAGTACCAGGGGAAAATTCACGGTGTGAACGGTGTTCTTCGTTATCCGCTTGCGCGAAAGAACGCGGTGGCGGCGACCGTCCTGGGTGATCGGGTCTACCCCCTTTGGGTCGGCGACGACGTTGTCGTTCACGGTATCTCTCCCTCCCCCTATCGCGGTGCGATCCTCGAGATCTGTGCCTTTCCCGATCTCGTTGGTCTGTAGTGTTGGTGGAGGCTCTCCACTGGTCTCTCAACACCGGACTCCTACGGGACCCAGCCATGTAAACTTCTTCAACTGCATCTGGTTTAAATAAATGAAGGTAGGGAGGCAGTCGGAATCAGATGGTATGGACCACTGAGAGATAGAAGGATTCGCATATAGATAATAAGCGCAGGAGATTCCGGTGGAGCCTATCGTTCGTCTAGTCTGCCGGGCGTGTTGACCGCGTTCACTGAATGCTTTCCTGTCGGGTAGTGCGGAGGCCTGGTTTTTCCGGGGTGGAAAGAGAATAGCCCTGTATCTGAGAAAGAACAGAACGTCAAACCTCCAAAATCAAAAACGTTTAGTAGATAAGAGGGGTTGGCTTGTTTTCCTTTCTTCGTTTCTATAAGGGGAAGACGCACCTCGCTGTTTGGGTGTGAGCTTGGGTTCTCTTCCCTTCTCCTTTCTTCTCTTTTCCTCTTTTTTATTGAGTGCATACGAATAAAATCAAGGTTGTGGTGACGGCAATCTACTTTCTTGACAGGCATATTTTAAGTGGTGGTCCTGGCGGGAGGAAAATCAGGTGGGCGACTGACGGGCGGCTCGTCAATCGGTCATTCCCATGCTGGTCTCCTCATTCTCCGGTTCTTTTGCCTGCAGTGCGGGTTTACTACGATAGTGGCCAACGGTCGCGCAACGCAACTGATAACAGGCAAGAGCTGCAGTCATGGATCAGAAACGCTCGGATGCCTTGAGCCCGAGGCAAAGTAAAAAGCACAGAATAGCCACTCAACACAGTCTGGGCTTCCTTCAGAGCGTTGTGGTCTTGGCTTCAAGACTAATGTCGACGTGTCGATCAAAGGAAGCTATTCTTTGCCCTCAGGATCTCACTCGAATAATCCTGTTCTTCCCTTTGCTTAATTCTTCTTCTTCTTCTTCTTCTTCTTCTTCTTCTTCCTCCTTTCGACAAGTCTGGATATGTTAGTCTTGGTTGACGTATGAGTTCTTGGCTTGTTTTCTCTCTGGCCATCCCTCCCACCCCAAATCTCTGAGCTTCTTGCCTTCGTAAGGTTGTCTCCAACCGTGGATAGAAGTGAATATCTCTTCGCTTCGTAACACACAGGCCTATCTACGGGATGCAATAAGCCAACAATGAAGAAATGACAAATAGGCAGATGAATCTGCCACAGTAGGATTTCGTCATTGTTGGTTGCAAAATCCACAAGGTGGTATCCTGATTTTGTTAGTATGCAGTGATGGAGTGATTGCCGGATGCCATTCAAGACATCTAATAGTCCCTCACTGCGTCGCACATTAAGGCCAAACGGGCGAGAAATAAAGAGATACAACAGATCCCCAACAATGATGCGTAGCATGTAGATGTTGCAAGGGCACTGCAGAACTTTCTTTCGGTGCTTCAGTCAACAAAGATATAAATCTGTCTCGCCCAAAAGAAAGACAACAACAATGTCATCTGTGTTTTTACTTGAAAATAATCACAAATATGAGGCACTCCCAGTCATGCTCCACTTCAATGGGTAGCAGCCAGGCTTGCTGTAGGGCGAAAACACTTGTAAGATCTACCAATATGGCGAGGTACGCCTGGTCGAACTGAGGAATAGCCAGGCTTTATTTGCGGACAATTCACGCTCATCCTCGACCTAGAGCGATTTAGAATTAAGAACCCGTGGGGATGCATACCTGACAAAGGAACTTGGCGGAGCTTGCGAAAAGACCGGCATGGTCACCGGGAATCCCGCAGAGCGCCTGTTAGTAGTTGTATCGAAAGAAAAAAGAGAAACAAGCAAAGGCGTGTTGTAGAAGAAAATATCTTTTAAGGTCTCTTGCCCCCGGAAAGGTCTAGATTTATTGCCTAATCGAGACGTATATGGGCGCGAAGTGTTGTTGGCTCATGACGTGTAAATGGGCGGTGGGGATGCGGATTTAGTGAGTAGGTCGGGACCAACCCAACAAACCGAGCATCGCGGTATCGAGCAGCTCTGGTAGGGTCAGGCATCACTAGGCAGGCCATACAATCCTATCCGGTCGATCACGAAGCCTGATCGATTACCACATCTCAGGGTGGGGGCCCAGGGCATGCAAGCTCATCGCATACGATGTTTAGGCGAATTTGGTGGGAGGTCGAGGTTACTGTAGGCTTGGACTTGGAGTACTGAGTGCGATCCACGTGATCCGGCGGGCCGCGGAGGAATTGGATCCACTTATAATAATGCCTCAGGCATAAACATGGTCCTTGGTGTACGTTATCAATGAACTGTGTAGCTTGATTGTAGTTATAACATTTTTGAGAAGTGTATGTGCAAAATTTAGCCTAGCTCAAAATCTTATCACTTATTCCTCTAGCTCTAAATCCTCTCAATCTGGCATATATAACCCCTGGTACAAGGGGCACTACTAGAATTATCCTGACAGTATAGTTGATGGTTATTGGCAATAGATTCCTCTGATCTTTTTGTAGGCAACTTGAGTTAGGGTTACATATAAATTAACATGCTAGGTAAAGCCCAGTATCTCATTGTTCGATATTATAACAAACATAATAACGAACTTATTTGCCTAATTCTTGGTAAATCTATAAATTATTGTATCTTTTCAGGTAGCCTGTACCCATTTAAACAAGATATCGATTTTGTATTAGTTTTTAACAAAGCTGAGATTGAATTTTCTAAGCGCCGAGTGTTTTAGTGTACATGAAATACCAGATCATCATGCTGCTAGTGCAATCGTTTACCATATTTGGTAAAACTGGGCTAAAAAGAATTCATGTCATCAGGGCAGTGAATCAAAATATTTCCCCACGTATGTTCAAGAGAAAAAAAAAAAAAAAAAAAAAAAAAAAAAGAACAAGGTCCCATTACAATCTCCCTATACAAACCACCATCCCACAGTCTCACATCAAAAAAACAAGGCCGACGCACGGGTCTTGGCTAGACGTCGTTGATGTTCTAGTCAGACCCGGCTAGTTCAATCTGACAACATTTTGCCAGTCTATACCTTGCGCACCCGCCTCACGCTTCATTTCTTCATCCCACGAAGTAGCAGCTTGACTGAACCGTGAATAGTAACGGGCCCTATTACCAGTCAAGAAGATATCCTGGTACATATCACCAAGATTAAGCTGCCTCCTGGCCATTTCTCTCAAAATGAGCTCATCGGGCTGGATGAATTTTGTGACTCTTTCGTGTCGGCCATATCCTTCATACTGAAGTGCTCCAACCTCCTGAGGAGGTACTCCATAAACGTACAGGTCAGTCTCATGTGGCAAAGGATTATACTTCCAACGGACAAAATACTTGAGAGTCTCGAACTCGCTTCGAAGAGCAGCATCCCTCAAGACGTCCCAAAGCACGGTCATAGTAGGCTGAGCCATCAATAAATGGTATAAACGGCCCGTGATACTCTCACGTTTCTTCCTCAACAGCATATCGAGCTGGGCAATGAAGATCATTGCGAAGAAAAGTTCGATATCTTGCCACAAATTGCGGTTCATCATCGTCCATTCACGACGCCGGTTATCGGGGATATCCATGATGAACCAGAGCTTCTTGATGACTGGCTCACATGGCTTTGGCAACCCATAGCCCGCAACGAGCATATTTTCCATGATTTTCTTCACCGTTTTCTCGCGGTAGATGATCATTTGTAACCAGCAAAAGGACGGCGCAAGGTCGTTTTCGCCTACAATGTCGCGAGCAGGGATAGGCTGCCGCCTGGCATTTGTGTTATCGATGCACAGCCTCGAATAACATCTGAACGGAAATATTTGCGAAGATTCGGGAGCGTCCCTCGTCGCCTGGCGTTTTATGATATCAAAACAATTCCTCTTCACGAAGCGATTAAACGGCTTGGAGATCGAGAGTAAATTGATCAATTCTTCAACGTTGAGATACATTGTGAACTCCAGAGCTAGACCTTGATGATAAGTGAAGGCTAGAAGAATATCAAAGCCGTTGTGTGGGAGGCCTGTGGTATTCGAGCTCTTGTTACTGGTATCCGGAGAAATAGTATTACTATTTAATGGCAGAGGGCTGATCGAGCCACGAGCTAAGGTAGGGAAAAGCTGAAGCCGAGGCTGTGATCTATCCTGCTGATGAGGCACGGCAAGATGGCTATTTCGCTGCGTGGGCCGTCGAGCCTCTGCCCTTCGAATCCGATCCCCTTCAGAGGGTTGACGGGGTCTTTCACTAGCATGAGGCTCAGATTGACGTCCACCCGAAGCACTTGATCCCTCGTGAGACACGGTATTCCTGCCTTGAGAATTTTCGGATCGAACCTGGGCTGCCGGTTGCGTTCTCAAACCCGCGCCAGGATTGCTGCCGCACCTGGAGATTGGCTGTCTCTGAAGAGATATAGGACTGCGGGAACCCTGAGTTGGCTGAGCAGGAAGTGGGTGAAGTACGCCAGTGAACCTTGCAGGTGGGATATGAGGGATTGAAATACCATTGTTCGTGATCTGCACCAAAGAAGGATTGTTTGGTCTGTTCACGATACCCTGATTACCGCCCTGGGTCTGGCCAGTTGTGGGTGGCCTCATTGGTATCAAATTCTCAGGCGCAATTCCTGCTAGCAGCTGCTGCCGGAGTAGGTATGCCTGCAGGGCCTTATCTGAGGCTGTCATTGTGTCTGTCGAAATCTGAGCTGGAACGGGTATTGAGCTAAAGCTGGATCGTCTGACTGGCTGAGCTGGGTTCGAAATAGACGAATGCATGGAGGTATTGGTGGTTGGATCAATGCTTTGCCTAGCATGTGGAGTGCTGCTTTGCATCGAGCCCTTTGGATGGCTACCACTTCTAGGTTCGATTGCAGAGGCGCGCTGTCCATGGCTAGAGCCTTGTCCCCTCGAAGGGGTAGAGAGCATAACCAAAGTTTGAGCAGCTTCAATATCTTTATCATCTAGCGCCTCCATCCTCGGTCACTTCGTCACCACTTGCATCAATAAGGAGCTTTGGAGGAGATAGTATGGTCAGTGATCTGGTGGAGGTACAACTTCACAAGTGTTAGTATGATTTGGAACACCAACCTTTGAAGCTTGATGAAGGACGGTTACTATTGATACTTGCTGAGCAACTGGAAGTATGAAGTTATCACCCCGGATTCAAATATTTAAAGGCAGGTCCAACTGTCGTCTAAGACAGAAGATAAATTAATTTTGACATTTAAAACCCTGGAGTGAATATGTATTTCCTGTAAGATAGCTCAAAGCATGGCATCCAGTGAATCCAGTCTTAAGACAGTGAGCACGGACCTAGCACTCAAATTCACAGAATACACACCGCTATGATGATGCAAATGCAGAGAGCAATAAAGCCCCAGTAGCTATTTCAAAGAGTGAATCACTATGCCAACCAGTCCTTGCTCATACTAAGAAGTGAATTTCAGAAATTGGGCTGCGTCGACAGTCTCCACTGCGGTATATTCCGGTTGCTATAGATGCTAAATGTCCACTAACAACAAATGTATTGGGAAAATGTAATTGCTAGCGTGAAACAAAGATAGTGTTGAACCGACATTGAATATCGTCTCATAACGTAATGAGTTCATATGCCAATAGCTGAGCTGAGCTGAGCTGAACCCTATCAGTCTCTCTCACCCTTCCTCATTCCGTGTGCCCTCTATTGGTTCTGTATGTATTTCCACAAAAGCAACCGGAGTAATATGACAAGTATCGTGCATGGTCTGCTGCAGCGAAATGAAGAAATCCAGGGTGTATCCAAGTAGTGTTTATAGGAACAAGAAGAATATAGCATAAAAGAATAAGAGATCTGCCAACCGTGTGGCTCGGTAGAAAATCAGAACAATCAGATCCAAAATAACCTGTTGAGAGGTAAACCGCCCCTAACTCCGTTGAAATCATGAATACCATCCACTGTTAAAAAGAAGGTAACAAGTATGTGTCATAGACATAGAAGACATTATCTCCGGTGCAAAAGAGTCAAGAATTCCTCCCTGGTCTTTGCGCTAGATCGCATGCATCCCAACATGCAGCTTGTTGTGGTGGTGCTGCTTGTTTTTTGCACACCGCGCATCACCATACAGAGGTGCGAGGATTCCATGACGACACCAACACCTAATGGCTTCAAGACGTCCGATATGGCGAGTGCGACTTGTTTGGTAAGGCGCTCCTGCACTTGTAGCCTCCTGGAGAACATTTCCGCCAGGCGCGCCAATTTAGAAAGCCCAAGAACACGGCGATCGGGGATATAGCCGATATGCATCTGTGGAGAAGACAACTGGTCAGCAATGTTGCATGGTCCAAATCTAAGACGTTGTCCATACCTTTCCCATAAAGGGAACCATGTGGTGTTCGCATAGAGAGAAAACCTCGATATCCTTGACAATAACTAGCTCATCGTGGTCCTCATGGAAAACAGCTCCATTGACCAGATCCCTGACATTCTCCTCGTAGCCTTTGGTGAAGTAGAGCATGGCTTTCGCATATCTCTCTGGGGTTTCCCGCAAACCTTCTCTTTCCGGATCCTCTCCAATGCACTCTAGAATGGTTCTCACTGCTCCTGCCAATTTTTGAACTCGTTCTTCCGTTTCCTCGGGCGAAGATTCCAGCCGCGCCCTTGTGCCAGGACCTATTGGGTAAAAATAGTTAAACGATATGTTCATTGGAAACGTTAGCCATGTCACTTACAAGGCCAGCTCAGCCCATCAAAATCGATTGGAGGATATAGAGTGTATGGACTTGCTGGGCGGCTAGCTGTCGATGGTGGGCTCAAAGCCCGGGTGTCATCTCTTGAGTCACCGGGCACGTCATTCAAAGATGGCCTAGAAACTCGATTAGTCACGATTTGAATGTCAGGGTGTACAAGCAACGTACTTCACCGCGCGTGAGTCAGTATTCGATTCTTTCGTGACAGGCGTAGATTCATCGACAGGGTGTACAGCTGTCTCTGGCAAATTGAACTCTGCCGGGACGTGGGGGGCAAATGAGGAGCGAATAGATGAGTTGAGACTCTCCCTTTCGCGAGCACCACGAGAGTTCATGGGGGAATTAAGAGAAGAGCTCCCGTTCAACAGACGAGGTGGAACAGCGGATTTGGGCTTTGAGCCTTGGGGAGGAGATCCAGAACTCATGGTGGAGGTGGAGGATGGTAGAAACAAATGAGTAATTAGTTAGTAGGTAGTTATGTGGAGGGGGGAATTAGTCCGCCGATGGAATTGCCCAGCCAGGGCTTTTTAGTATACAGATGATGGAGGAGCAGGCGACAATTCAAAAACTTGGGTTCATAACAGTTGCGGTAATTATAAAAAATTATTCAGGCATGCAATAATGAAACATATTTATGATAATTTCGAGGAGGGGCAGAAAAAAGAAGAGCTAAAGAGGGGACGCCGTTTTTCAATGGCGACATTCTTGACGGGGCCGATTGAACGATTGGACCTTCTCCGGCGCCGATCTGATTTCATATGCCCACCGCCTGCGGGATCGGCCAGTGACGGCCAGTCATGTTGTTGCAATCTGCTGACTCCTCAGTCCCTGTATGGTATTATCAATACCATTTACTATAACTACTAGTAAGGATATCAACAGCAATGATATAATATTCCCCACGATCTAGTTAACATGACTACTAACTAGTATTTACTTCCCATAGATGTACTGCCATGATTATCAAACTATACATTTCTTTCAAAATTCTCTATTTAATTTCATCCACACCACGTAGACTTATGACTTTCTTCATTCATGACTTTTAGTACTCTGTCCGTACTACTAGTACTACTGGTACCGTAATTAAGCATGTATGCTGGATGTACTTGCATACATCATTGTACGGGGTGCAGCGGAACCTAAGCTTGTCCAACGGCGCTATGACTCGGGACGTTTCTTCCCAGAATATCGTCCCTTGAAGCTCTGACTATCGGGGCACCAATCGCCCTAGGATCGGTCTCTGATCTTACTATACCTTATACGAGCTGTACCAGACATCTCCGACTCGGGAAACTTATACTCTTACAGGCTGTATCATCCATCCTCCAGACTAGGTTTTCTTTAAAATGATCGGGAAAATATGGAGCTGATTCGTTCCTGGAAACCCCGCGGATCCAACGGTGTGGAGCCAACTCGAGTTGCGCTTCATCCCTAGTAGTCACAAATTCCCTTATCCGTATGAGCCGGGAATATCTTCTCTACATTGATAGTTAAGTCTAATTGCCTTAAGATGTTGTTCTAGACGAAACAAAGAACTGCTCTTTCTCCAGGAACTCATATAATAGACACAGTGACAAGGTCGGAAGGAATATCCACCCCCACTAGCTCTGTCAAAGTAGCACCCTAAAATATCCGATACTTAGCGTCCTGGAAAAGCTATTCAAGCTCGGAAATGCATAGTATGTGCACAATTGCATCTAGTAAATAGCATTGAGGTATTGATGCTATCTATCACTCAGCTTGAACAGGTAACTGTAGTTGGGTGGTCTTTTCCTCTATAATACTCTATCCTCATTGTCTAAAGCGCACTATGATCTGTGTGATCATTCAGTACTATAGCAGGGAAATGGTGTATAATGCCGACTACTCATAAGTCTTAGTATTAGTAAGGACGCCATCTAGTTACACTAGTCCTGCAACCCAACATAACAATCTGCTCAGATAACTAGCGGGCGGTACCTGAAGTCAATCAGGGCCATACACTACATTCATGCTTAATGGATGACCCTTCTTCTAGTGCGTATATGGGCGCAGAGAAATAGCGGCGGGAGAAACCGGGCATTATCGGAAATGGTAAGTAGTAGTATCCCCAGGGCAGACGTAATATCGCGCGAAGCAGTACTCCGCAGTGGTGATAAAATGCATTGGTTACGCGAGTGTTTAGGAAGTGTGGTCAGGCTGTAATACTGTTCTTCTGGCAATGACTATCAATACAGCGGATCTTCAAGCTCACATGACTCTTTCTCATTGATATCTTCGTCCTATCGGCAGCACTTGTACAAGATTCCGGGATACTGTCGCATCAGGTAATAAAACCCTCGAGATATTGGATATTAAGATGAAGCTAATCAGGCCTCCAATTCCTCAGTTGGCACATCCTCCAAGTCCTTACCAACAATGGCATCAGCAACCTTCCACACCTGTAACAAATTGTCTTCAGCGGCAGAACACAGAACCCATGGGTCGTTAAGGTTCCAGCTGAAATCAGAGATACGGTTGGTATGGCCGCCGTGCATGAAGAGGCTGAAAGAAGGGTAAATTAGCAAAACAATGTTAGTAAAATGAAAAGCACAACTAGAGTAACATACAGCTCAGGGGGTCCATCTTGTGCATCATCAGGAGTTTGCTCCTCGCCACTCCGGCTAAGATCCCAGAACATAATTTTACGATCATAGCTTGCACTCGCCAAGACAGCTTCCTCGAATGGGTGCCAAGACAAGGAGGTTACGGAGTCGGTATGGCACTCGAGTGTGTGCAGTTTAGTCTTGAGATTACGCAGATCCCAGAGGCCAATGGATTTATCAGCTGAACCTGTCGCGAGAACGGTTTCTGCAGCAGGGTTGAACGCAATTGCGTTGATTGCGTCACGATGTTGGCCTTCCGCAGAAGCTGCCGCACGGCTTGTTTCCGCTTCTCGTATGTCAAGGATTTGAAGGGTAATATCGTCGGACACTGTGCCAATGAGAGAAGAATGAAGTGGGTGATACTGAACGTCGTTGACAATCGACGAATGATGGGTGTATGTGCGAGTTGGCTTCAACGCCTTATTGCCTTTCGTGTACGTGGTTAAATCCCTGCAAAGAGAGTTAGTTATCAGACAGTAGACACAGTGACTGGAGAACCGCGCAATTACCAGAGTCGAACAGTCTTGTCTTCACTACCAGTGACGAGGTGACCTGCGGTGTGTGGGCTCCAACTAAGACCAAATCCTTCCTTCGTGTGACCTAGAAGCTCCATTTGAGGGTTCACTGTGCCCGTAGGTAGACTGGGGTGTTTCGAGCGATCCCAAATCATCACCCTTCCATCCGTACACATGGTGGCAATCACGTTGGGGTTTTGAGGTTGATACCGCGCCTTATTTACTTCGCCTTTATGATCAATCTTCTGAACAATGTTGAACTTAATTTCCATCGGGGCCTTTTTAGAGCTACCGCCATAGCCACCAATTTCCCCACGCTCCTCATCGTAGTCGTCCGGGTTAGGAGCCGAAGGTTGGGAAGTTGCACATGAGCAATCTGTAGATAGTTTTGCGCGTCACTTGAGGTGTGTGTACCAAGCAGCAATCGATGAGTTGAATACGGCTTGTCGGGAACCCTAGAAAGGTTAGATTTCATGCAGAACAACCAACAGCAGAACAGGCGCATACTCTTGCTTGTCAGGTAGCCATTGTGTTGTAAGAGTAGGCCATTCTAATGCCGTACTAAGAATCATGTCATATAAGAAAGGCGCATTCTTCTTCCAGGTTTTGTATTCTGATTTAAGCCTTTAGCCTCATAACCGAATTCGGAGAACGAAGCTTAGTCACCTTCATTAATGACTTTCTCCTCGGTGCGCTCTTCCTCCTGTTCTTCCTGCTCCTCAATAAATCCTAAAGCGACGAGGTGTTAGATTCGTTTGCGCAAATAGAAGTGGAACAGAAATCGCACCGTCGTCGTAGGGCTCCATGATGAGCTTAGGAGATCACTGTAAGACAGAGAACAAGAACAGTATGACAGGGAATATTGATTAAGTAACTGTACAAAGTACACCACAAGAGTGAGAAAAGACGTTGTTATGCGAATGAGAGCTGTGTAAGGCCAAGGTTGACAGAGCTTGCGGACTGAGCTCCCGCTTGGAGAAACGCGACCTTCCCGTTGACACCGCGTTAATGGGCGCCAGTGAGAGCTAAGCCATTTTCGGCGATCACGGCTTGGCGCCATCATCTCCATCCTTAGACCTTACGACCGTTGACTCGGCAGAGTCACCAAACCTCACTGCTGACCTTTACGATTCCTAAAGGCGCTCTCGCCTTCGTTTAATGTTTCTTTCTGTTTGGAACATCGTTTTGTTTCTTTTTAGTTTGGAGTCCCACATTCTCTGAGAATTCGCAGTCGGCTATTCTTGTCCGTACGACCGCATCTTCCCATTCATTGAATGATTTGCCTCCGAATTCGAATACTTCTTCGCTTTTTGACGACTACGACGACCACCACGACAGGCTAGATACCTTCGCATTTTCTTATCTCTACAATATAGTCTACAGAAGATTTCATTGTATTGATTCATCATGGGTGTTCCTAAGTTCTTCCGCTGGCTGAGCGAGCGGTATCCTGCGATCTCAATGCTGATCGCAGAGAATCGGATACCTGAGTTCGACAACCTGTACCTTGACATGAATGGTATTATTCATAACTGTACACACAAAGATAGCGACTCCCCTACTTTTCGGATGACCGAAGATAAGATGTTTATCGCCATATTTAATTATATCGAGCATCTCTACGGCAAAATCAAACCCAAGAAACTCTTCTTCATGGCGATTGATGGTGTTGCCCCTCGGGCCAAGATGAATCAACAGCGTGCACGACGATTCCGGACAGCTTTGGATGCTGAGGTTGCGAAGGAGAAGGCCATCAGCCAAGGAGTTGAGATGCCCAAGGAGGATGCTTTCGACAGCAATTGCATTACCCCGGGCACGGAATTCATGGCTAAATTGACAGAACAATTAAAATATTTCATCAACAAGAAGATATCGGAAGATAAAGACTGGCAAGGAGTCGAGATCGTATTGTCAGGTCATGAAGTACCGGGAGAAGGTGAACATAAAATTATGGAATACATCCGGCACGCGAAAGCACAGGAAGGCTATGATCCCAATGTTCGACACTGCCTTTATGGTCTCGACGCCGATTTGATCATGTTGGGGCTCCTCAGTCATGATCCTCACTTCTGTCTTCTTCGTGAGGAAGTGACCTTTGGGCGCCAAGTCCAGAAAAAGCCCAAGGAACTTGAGCATCAGAATTTCTACCTTCTACATCTGTGCATGGTCAGAGAGTACTTAGAATTGGAGTTTCAGGAGTTGGAGCGGAACGACGTTTTGGGCTTTTCTTTTGACATGGAACGGGTTATCGACGACTTCATTTTGATGGCGTTCTTTGTTGGAAACGACTTTTTACCTAATTTGCCTAATCTGCATATCAACGAGGGTGCGTTAGCATTCCTGTTCAAAGTCTACAAGGAGATCTTGCCAAAGATGGGCGGGTATATCAACGAGCAGGGCGTTATCAACATGGAGCGTTTGGGTATGCTTCTTGATGGCTTGAGCGATGTTGAATTCCGCTTTTTTGAAGCTGAGTACTCAGGCGAGCGATGGATCCAGGCCAAGAAAAATGGCGGAGAAGACAACTCCGAATCCCAGGGGAGACCTAAAAGTCTTACAATTACCCCAGCACAGAAGAGTCTTCTGAAAGAGGTCAAGAAGTATGTGCTCAACCGACCTGAAAAGGCGGCTGACCCTCAACCTCTTGATTTCCCTCCCACACTGCCTGCTCGAGATCGCAAGTTCTTGGAGCAACTTGCAGATGACCTTCGGCTGCCGTGGACTACCGAACCAGACGAACATGGGGAACGGTTTATCAGATTTAAGCTTCCAGCAAAGCAGGGTGACGATAGTGACGATGAGGAAGACGAAGAGGCATCCATGGCCGTTCAACGTATCATCCGAAAGTACGAGAATGCAAAGGTTCAAGAGCTCTCTGCTGAAGACGCCCAGAAAGCCGCCGAGAAGAAATATGAGGAAAAATTCCAAGAGTGGAAAAACAAGTATTATACAGGAAAGTTTGAATGGGGGTTGGAAAATCATGACGAAATGAGGAAATTAACGGAGAACTATGTGCAAGGTCTCCAGTGGGTTTTGTACTATTATTACAGAGGCATAGCGTCCTGGCCGTGGTTCTTCCAGTACCACTATGCCCCAATGATCTCTGGTTTGTCTTCCTACCGCTCTTCAAATAGTCTTCACTGACTTGCTCTAGATGTTAAAAAGGGCCTGAAAGCAGATACGAATTTCCAGCTTGGTCAACCCTTCCGGCCTTATGAGCAGCTTATGGGTGTTTTACCCGATCGAAGCAAAAAAATTGTGCCTGCTGCCTACCGGGACTTGATGACTTCACCGGAATCTCCTATTGTCGATTTCTACCCTCGTGATTTTGAGTTGGATATGAATGGAAAGAAGATGGAGTGGGAGGCAGTTGTCAAAATCCCATTTATCGAGGAGAAACGCTTGCTGGATGCTCTCAAAACGAAAGAGCACCTATTAACTCCGGAAGAAAAAGCACGGAATGGCTTCGGTGCTAGCCTTAAGTTCACCTACTCGCCCGATGTACAGTTTATCTACCCATCGTCTTTGCCTGGTGTTTTCCCAGATATTTCCAATTGCCATTGCATTGAGAATATCTTCGACTTGCCTACTATGGATGGTCTCGAGCCCTACATTGGTCTGGTTGATGGAGCTCAACTTGGAGCATCAGCATTAGCAGGTTTCCCAAGTTTGAAGACTTTACCTCGCGTTGGCCAATTAGGCTTCCATGGGGTGTGCGTCTTCCAGCAAGAGAGCCGCAACGAAAGCATGGTCATCACATTACTTGATCCTGGAAGCAGGTCAAGTAGCGTATTGGCTAAGCAGAAACTCGGACAGCGTGTTTTTGTGGGTTATCCATTCCTACAAGAAGCATACGTTGTCCGCGTTTCCGATGAGCTTTTCGATTACATCAAGCCTGAAGGGGAGGAGCATGTTGTTAATATCCCCCATACCGAGGCTCAAATCGAACAATGGAAGAAGAAAGCCGACAAGATCGAAGGAACGTACAGTAGGCGGCTTGGCACGATCATTGGCCCTGTTGAGGCGATGGTACACGTGCAACTACTGAAGGGGTTGCTCAAGACCGATGAAGGTGCTACAGTGAAAGAGTTCGCGGATATCCCGGGGCAAGAAACCGATTACGCTCTTCAGCTCGTCGTTGATGAAGTGATCAATCCTGATGAACGTTTCATTGAACGTGATGCTCTGCCTATCGAAGAAGAATTCCCCGAAGGCTCTCGTGCATTCTTCCTAGGAGAATTCAATTACGGTAGGCCTATGCATATCACAGGACATAGTAATGGCAAAGTGAACGGATTAATCGCTGCCGTTAAGGGTCGGGAACCTGAGTTTGGAAAGGAGCGTGCTAGGGATGCCGAGAGGTTTTGTCCTTACATGCCCTCTTACGCGATTGCACGCAGTCTGCAGCTGAATCCCTTAGTATTGGCGAAAATCACTTCGGCCTTCTCTGTGGATGTGGAGGGTCAGCGTGTTAATCTGGGTCTCAACCTGAAGTTCGAGGCGAGGAAACAGAAGGTTCTGGGTTATTCACGCCGTGGAGACTCCGGCTGGGAGTTTAGTCCCAAAGCAGTTGAACTACTCCAGCAATACATGATCAAGTTCCCTGAATTCATCGCTGGTATCCAGCGTAACCCTCAGGGTGATCGCTATAAGCCAACGGATTTCTATCCTGAAGAGACCGCCCTTTTAAAGGTCAAGGAGATTCGTGAGTGGCTCAAATCTATCGAGGCTAAGAATTTCGAGAGAGTTCCTCTCGATGCTGAACAGCTCGATTCCGACATTGTCAAGTTGATCGAGCAGGATGCGGACCAATTAATTCAAAGCCAGCCCGCGATGCAAGCAAAGAAAGTTGGAGGGGTTCCACGAAGTGCTCTTCTCAGACCATCTGATGTGGAGCAGAGACTTGGGAACCAGACATTTAAACTTGGTGACCGCGTTGTCTATGCCCAAGACTCCGGTAAAGTGCCCATAGCCACTCGCGGAACGGTCGTTGGTCTGACGCGGACGTCACGGGCTCTTCTCCTGGATGTTGTTTTCGACGTTTCGTTCATGAGCGGAACCACACTAGGTGACCGATGCTCTCCATTCCGGGGACAGACGGTTCCTTCATCTTCTGTCCTTAATGTTTCATACCGACAGCTACTCGCCACAACCCGAGCAGCCAGCAGCCAGCAAAGTCAACCATCGCCTTTGACAGTTGCGGGCTATGGCGCTCCTTCTGGGCCTGATGGAAAGGGGCAGCTGAAAGAAGCTTCAGCCCCTCCACCTCTCAGCCACTCTTACCGAGGTGCAGTAGCAGGTATGGGCAACGGCCGCGGCAATGGTTTCCCTCAAAGAGGCCGAGGTGGTCGTGGCGGACGGGGCGCCTCTAATGGTGTCGGGCCGCAGACAACCCTACCCTTCCGGCCACATCCCAACGGTGGAGAACAGCAAACGGATGGATCATATCGCGGAGGCAGAGGGAGAGGCCGCGGCGGCATGGCCCGCACGCGAGGAGGATACATCCCTGTGGATCCCAATCCAGATGCGGGTGTAGTGAAGCACAACCCGAACTTCCGGGCACAGAATTACTCACAAGTTCCCCCACCTAAGAACTTGAACAGCCGTGGCGGGCGTGGTGGCCGAGGAAACCCTCGGGGGAGCCATCGCGGCAGAGGTGCTAGTACAGGGAACAATCAGGCTTGATTCTCCGTGTGTGTAGCTGTTGCCTCTTGATATTGAAACAAATCTGACCCTGAAGTGGTCTGGACGAAATTTAAAAGAAAAAAAAAAAAAGGATGCATTGAGTTTATTTCTCACCTTAAAT